TGATTTTATATATATATATATATATATATATATATAAAATGTAAGCTGCAAAAATGTAAAAAAAAATCATCATGTACACTACTGGTCCAAATTTTGAGATCGGTAAGATTTTTTTTTTTTTTTAAGCAATTAATACTTTTATTCAAGAAGGATGCATTAAAGTGATCAAATGTAGCAACAGTAAAGGCATTTAAAATGTTACAAAAGTTTTCAGATTTAAATAACTGCTGTTCTTTGAAACTTTCTGTTCATTAAAAATCCTGAAAAAAATTTAATGTGTCACAGTTTTCGCAAAATTATGAAGCAGCACAACTGTTTTCAACACTGATGATAATAGTAATAAATGCTTCTTGAGCAGCAAATAAGCATAATAGATTGATTTTTGATTTAGATTTTTTGATCACAGGAATAAATAATATTTTAAAACATATTCAAATAGAAAACAAATATTTTAAATTGTAATAATATTTCACAATATTGCTGTTTTACTGTATCTTTTTCATCAAATATATGCAATCTTGGTAAGCATAAGAGACTTCTTTCAAAAGTATTTTAAAAATCTTACTGACCTCAAACTTTTGAACAGTTGTATATGATATCAAACCTATCAGCTGTGTCCAAATTCACAATATATCATTGCCTCTCCTACCTTATAGATTTATAAAATAACTTGGCAGAAAAAATCAAGAAATTGAACAACATTTCAAAGTACAGCAATACACAAAGGTTTTTAGAGGTCATTTACTTACAGAAGTTTACAGAAACTGTTTCTAAAAAAATTCTAAAATTCAGAGGCAACATGTGTGCAAAAACAGGACATTGTAAGTGAAATAAGTGAACAAAAAATTCAATATGGCCCATTACCAATGTACAATATTAAGATGTGCATTTATGTAGCATTGCATTTGTGTGAAAATGAAAGAGACTACTTGAAAGAGACTTTGTGTGGCATGGTTGTGCTCTCACTCTGAGAGTTGGTGATCATGTTAAACACTCTGAGGAAGCGAGAGGACTTCGCATTTAGGGAACAGGGACAGGATCAGACAGCAGAGGTGTACCTTCTCATATATTCTGTCCTACATAGAACATTATTTTTGACTCCATCAAATGGGACTTTTTGAGCCCCACTTTACCATCTCTGGACCACTTATATAACAGACTGAAAATTCCTGAATGTGCTTAAAACAGCATTTTAGCTATAATTGGATACCATACAGATACTTTAGCCTTGTTTTACTGTCTTTTTATTTGTATCGCATACATTATTTGGTCAGTTTTGTGCAAAACAAATTAGTTGTACAGTCAAAAATCAACCAGCATGGTTTAAAGAGTGAATTAAAATGTTTCTTGAGCAGCAAATCAGCATATTATACTGATTTCTGAAGGATCATGTGACACTGAAGACTGGAGCAATGATGCTGAAAATTCAGCTTTGCTCACAGGAATAAATTACATTTTAAAATATATAACAATAGAAAACAGCTATTTCAAATGTTAATAATATTTGAAAATATTACTGTTTTTACTGTATTTTTGCAGCCTTGGTGAGCACAAGAAAAAAAACGTAACTTTTGAACTGTAGTTAACATAGTGAAGTTTAATACTTGATATGAGCAATAGTCTTAAGTACTTAGACGGTGCTGACGGTGATACCGTTGTTAAGCCGCAACACCGGTTACGTCACTTGCCCACCACATCACCGACCCCCACCGTCGTTTTGATTTTTTATAGTAATAAAAATCATTTAGTTCAGTAAAAGAACAGACACTACAATTAAAAACTGAACGCGGCTGCTCAATGCAGCGTGCCGAACGACAGTCGCATCACAGATCAGATTTCATTTCTCCAGTGAGGAGAGTGAGTCGAGCTGACTGACCCGCGGTGATACCGGTATTACCGGTGTTGTCACACGTCGATTATCCGGTGGGAAAATTTCCTCACCGTCACAACCCTATTAAGTACTACTGATTAGGCAGAAGCCGTTTTATTAAGGCATCTGGAGTGATGAGTCGGTTTATTGTTTCATGTGGCAGGGCTGAGTCACCGTCTCAGTGTGCAGCTGTGTATCAGGACATGTGTATCCTACATTGGATTCTCATCATGAACCACTAAAAACAGCAAAACCACAATTGAGTGCACCGCTCTGACTGCTTTTTATAGGCCACAGGGAGCTGAGAGAGTGGTCGCAGGCTATTTTTGGGATGTATTCAGCGTTGGCTAGAATCTGGAGTAATTATGTCATGTGTTTATTCCAGAGTGAAGAACACTCCACTGCCCGTCAAAGTGTGCTCTACAGGACTCCAGGTACACATGAGCGGAAAACCTAAGAGTATCACCGTCGAGACCAAACCCGGCCAGACCGTCGCAGACTTCAAGAAGAGTCGAACAGGATTCACCTTACTGCTGCCCCATCAGTAAAGCCAAGACTTAGGACATAAAACAGTATTTAGCCATTCAGTCATGACGGGACCGTAACTTCCAGAGATTTCAAACAGGATTGGATATGTTTGTACATAAGTGGAACACAATTTCTTATTTTCTCAATCTGAAGCAATGCACTTTGTTGTTATTAAATAGAGTGCGGCTGTGATGATGTATTTTTGTAGGCCAAACCAGAAGTTTGTATCACCCAGGTTTCCTCGATTTTTCCACTGGCTTTTGGATTATTGCAGAAAACAAGCTTTGCAACCAACAGAAGTTTATGATTCTTACACACAAGTTAAGACCACTTTTATCAATTTTGAGGCCTTAATACGATTGCCAGAAATTTAAAATTAAATGTAGGCTATAAATGAACTACACCACGGTCACATTACATCAGTCTTTATTTTAAAACATTTTCTCTGAAAGTTTGAGTTAGAATAGTTTGTAAGAGCGTGATTATAAACACAATGAGGCTGTAGACAGCCTCTGTAGTCCCATTAGGCCTTTCAATCTAATTCACATGTGGTTTGAAATCCTATTTGAAAACCATTTCAGTCTGACCGCTCAGATCAGATTTAGCGTAGCTTTTTTGCCTGTGTCAGTTTCACACGTCACGTAAAACGTAAACACGCCAGATGTTGTTTGTGGAAAACATGCTGAAAGTCTTTGCAGAAGCAAGGTTGTGTTGTTGCAAAGGGCAAGTCAAGCTGAAAATGCCAATACAGAGCTATTCTACGCACCTCTTTTAGTTTTGAGACCGGCGGCACAGCGCATTCCAGCTTCCTACGTTTCTGTCGCTGCCTCATAGGACGGAATATAATCCAGTGCGACTGCAACATGTCGTAAGACAACATCTGTATAGCAAACTGTATTGCTGTTATTGTTGTTTTACTGTTTTTATTGTAGAACAATGTCGTTACCATAGAAACCAAAGCAGATAAGCTGTATTGCAAACTGTATTGCTGTCATTGTTGTTTTATTGTTTTTATTGTAGAATAATACAATGTCGTTACCATAGAAACCAAAGCAGATATTTAGTCAAATGAAAGAGTGCCACAGGACACACAAATCGGATCTGAACAGTTGCGATACACACAGTGTGGACTGTCAATCATTTAAATCAGAGTCCAGTCGGATACACAGAAATCGGATTTGGACTGACAGTCTGAACAAGGCTTTATACACTTGTTAACAACTGTCTTTTTCAAGACACATAAAAGCTTTAGAATAAAACATGAAAATATCATGAGCTTGTGTTCTCCACAGACCAAATTTCAGGCATTTAACCAAAAACCCATTCAAAACACTCGCTGACTTTAGGACGATGGAATCAGAAGAGCTAAAATACAAGTAATTTACAGGTTTTGGTCTATAAAGAATGTCATCTCTGCAGCACTCCCTGTGTTAGTCCTGTGTTAAACAGAAGGAATGTCTAAACCAGTTAGTGCTACCGTGTTGATCATGTGCTTGAAAAGAAGATATGCAGCATAAATGATCCACTGTTATTCTGCCGTCCCTCCTCTATTTTTAATTTTGCACATGAAATTGTGCGTTGTGTCATGTCTTTGGAATTGTGGGGGGTCATGTAATAATGCTATTTTATTATTTATCAGCATTTCAGAAGGAATGTTATATTGATATGGCCTTTGCACTTTTCATATGTAGATTCTATTTTTATGTTCTTTATGATTGTATTTTTTTTCTCAGGGTGTACATTTGAACTGTGGAGATGTAACCAAGAGTATTTTCATGTGTTAGTGCTGTCACTGGGGCGGTGCCTTTCAAAAGATACTAATACAGTATATACTTCTAAAGTGCTAATGTGTACCTTTACATATGTATTAATATGCCAATATGTACCTTGGAGGGGTAAATAAGGCACAAAGATGTACCTTTTAGCTTTTGTACCTTTTTTGTACCACCCAAGTGACAACTTTTGTACCTTTTTTCTGAGAGTGCAGGAGTATTTAACCAAGATTTACAACCCCTCAGGTTAAACCTAACAATATTGTTACTGCTTTGTAGTAGTAATATATAAACGGAGGAGTGATTTTAATGCTTATTAATATCTGTCAAATGTTGTATTTAAAAACAGCAACTAAACTGTAATCAAGTCATATGATATTGTTTTATTAAATGCCACATGCAGTAATTGTGTGCTTGTTGTATATGGCGAGGACATAATTGTATATAATGACTTTGGTATTACAATGGCCTCATAAACCTAACGGCTTAAAAACATACTTTTTGAAATGCCAAAAGGTTCCTGTGAGGATTATGTTTAAGGTTAGGGGATATAAAATATGATTAGGAGAGTATAAAAGCCATTATGCCTATGAAGAGACCCTGTTAAATTAAACCGTGTGTGTGTGTGTGTGTGTCTGAAGATTCTCAGTAGTGACAGGTTGCCTTACTGTCGCTCTGATTTTTATTTCCTGCTTCCACTCCCCTGCTGCGAGCATCTTTCATCTATTCTGACACCCCTGTTTTCGTTTCTTTCCTTTTTTTTTTTTTTTGTTTTTTTTTTTTTTTTTGACGCTTCTTTGCACGCACCTGTCTGCCTGCTGACGTTGGACTCTGTTTCTGTCTCAATGTGTCATGAGCATCATTGGTTCTTGAATATCTATTTTTTCACACCTTTTACTGAAGTTGTCGGTTTACTTTTGGGTATCTGACATGAAACGTCAAGCAATGACATTCTGTTCTACATCAAAAATGATTTCAGATGGGAGTGTTCTAGTTCTTATATAATTAGTATACATGCAATTATGACTTCATTTTAGTTTAGAGATTGTCTGGAATAATAGTACTTCAAAAAATTATTAAATTAAATAAAGCTTTTTAAGTGAGTTGCAACAACCGCTTATTTAAAATTGTGAAAAACAGCAATGGTGATGGTTATTATAACACATATATAGAGTGTTCACTCTTAAAAATGAAGATTCTCTGTTGGCATTGATGGCAACCTTTAACATCAATGGAATCTTTCAATTGCACAAAATGTTCTTTATAGAGGAAAGACATTTTTAAAATGTTCTTCATACAAAAAAAAAAAAAAGGTTATTTTATAAACTGTTCATTGAAAGGTTTATTTTTAGATGTAGATGCATTTTAAACTGTGAAGTCCATGAACATTTTATCTACAATATTTTGTCCATGACTTTTTATCTGTACTGGTTTCTAATGTGTTTTCAGTGAGACCATCTGCTCTTATATGCACTCCAAACATATTCCTATTGGAAACAAAAGCCTGATGTCAAAGAGGAACTTCAACAAGGAACTTTTTTAAGGTTTTTAAACTAGTGCTTTAAAGAACCCAATAATCAATACATTCATGCAAAGAACCGATGTAAAGTATATGGTTCTTGGTTCTCCATAAAAAATATAAAATAAAAAATATAGCCAAATCAAGAACCATTTACGGCAAGAATAGTCCTTTGCTGAAACTTAGGAGCTCAAAAGAACCGCTGAAGATCATTTGAGTGTAGAAAATGTACCCAAAAACAATGTCCATCAGGAAATATCAAAGTCTGAAAGTAAAGCGAAGGGTCTTGGAAGCTTTTTAGGTCAGTAAGCTCTGCACCAAAGCCCTTCTGTGACCAAGTTTGTTTTACTCAATCTCATTAGTCATGTTTCTAGAGCAACCTGAGTCACAGGCAAAAATAACTATTCCCCCGGCAACAACACCCGCCTTCAACCCCACCACATGGCAGCAAACTGAGTTTCTCTGATAGCTAATGTAATGATGAATCAGGTTTGAAGCTGACTGGGTCACCTGCTTCATCTGGCATGTGGGGTCTTGTTTTTGAAGTGTGCCGTCTTGACCTAGTGCATGTATCCTGTTCACAAATGTCAACGCAAACAACAGAATTTCATGGAAAAATTCTCAGTGCTTTGTACACAGAGCTTATTGCTTCCTGTCCATTCAAAAAAATATATATATATATTTTTTTTTCAAAGTTGTAAATAAAACAAAGATTATTGGAGTCCGTTTTACTAGAAAATACTATTTCAATCTTTCTACTAAATTTCACATTTAATTCAAGGTGTTACTTGCTGTTTCTTTGTAATTGTGAAATTTAACTATTTGTTTTCTATTTTGTCTCTCAGGTAGGATTTCTAATCTTCTTTCTGTGTCATTTCTTTTGCTCATGTTACTCGGCAGATTGGATCGAGGCTCATCCAATCACAATGCAGCTGTAGAGATGAACTCTGATCACTCACTCTTGATCAAAACTTCCAACAATCGTCCTTTTTCCACAGTGACCCCTCCTCCAATCAGCCATTTGTCTCTGTGACAGCTCGTCCAATCATCTGGCTCGCTGAATGACAGGGCTCCGTTCTAATCTATAAAAGAACCTTTGTTCTCCTGGTGGACTGACATGGAGATTTACACCCAGCTGTGAGACCTGACATCGCTTATGGCAAGAAGTCTTCTGTTATACATGATCCTTGTCCTTTTTAAAAAAAAAAAATTTTTTAAATAAAAAAAGAAACGAAAATTGCACCCAACTGTAATGATCCTGGCAAACATCAACAACACCCTATAATTGTGATGGTGAGTTTTGCACGGCCAAGCACTCATTCACATTTTCTCTGAAAACTGTAAATATGTTATGTTTTTACATTATTGAAAAAGAACAAGTATAATAAAATAGTAAAATATGGCAACAGTCTCTCCTTCAAATCTCTGAATAAGGACTGTGTGCTGTTGGCTCTCATACAGTATGTGCTGAGCACAGGTCACATGTAACAGATTACTGTGGTGTGAGGGAGTCGCATGCATGTTCAAGCCATTAAGACAAAAGTCGACTAATCAAGAGCTGCAGGGCAACACGGAAACAATTCGCTGCACTTTCAAACCATGAAGAGAGCGCTTGAGAACATTTCTTTTAATGTGACCTCAGCTAATGTGTGCGAGTTGGTTCTAACAAAAACAGAACCGAAGTACACACACCGTTCATAAGTGTGCCGTCATTATATATTATAATTAAATTATAAAAATTTCTATTTCAAATATGCAATTCATTTAAACATTCTATTTATTAAAGAATCCTGAAAAAAATTATCTTTTTGCAAAAAAGAAAGAAAGAAAGATTTGAAAAAGATTGTTTGTCAGCAAATCAGCATATTATAATGATTTCTGAAGGATCATTTGACACTGAAGACTGGAGTAATGATGCTGAAAATTCAGCTTTGATTACAGCAATAAATTACATTTTAAAATATATTACAATAGAAAACTGATATGTTTTCTAATAATATAATATTTCATAGTATTACTGTTTTTACTGTATTTTTGATCCAATAAATGCAGCCTTGGTGAGCAGAAGATACAATTACATTTTTACAATAGAAAACTGATATGTTTTCTAATAATATAATATTTCATAGTATTACTGTTTTTACTGTTTTTTTGATCCAATAAATGCAGCCTTGGTGAGCAGAAGATACTTCTTTCAAAAATATTTAAAAATCTTACTGACCCCAAACTTTTTAATTGTAGCGAACATTGCACAGACACACTTTTTGTACTTTCGTCATAATCTGCGCCCCAAATGACACACTATATACACTATGCACTTATGGTTATTTAGGTTATTTTGTCATTCATAATCAGTCTGATAGCTCCTCCCCCTTCGCTACGTAATTAAAGCTATAACAATTGAGTGCATGAAGTGTCCATCATTCCACACTTAGTTTTTTCTGGTTATTTAAGTGCATCATACGGGTATTTAAAGTGCACTTTTTCTTTTTAGAATTTTCAGTGTGAATGCACTACTCACATTATTTATACAAAACATCACTGAATAGTGTATAAGTACGAGACTTGGGACACACCTATAGTTTTGTGGCAAGTTTGGGCACACTTGACTTAATGTTTCTAATGAACGTAAAAACCTTTTGATCTAAAGACCTATAAAGTAAAATATTGAGATTAGAGTTGTAGAGACTACAGATAATGTTTAACTTTATTATCTTTTTATGTGGTGAATTGGAGCAGTGAAGCAGAGCAGCCAGAATCAGTTCCTTCTCTCCAATTATCAGATGTTTGTGACTAAACATGAGACAGGGGAACTGCATGTCCAGTTAGATGTTGTTTGTTCACTTTATAGAACATCACTGTTCATTTCACCTGAAATCCGCTCGGATATGACCCGCTGCTGAATATACAGCTTGACAGCACTGCAATTCACATTCCATCTGCTCTTAACGAGAAGCGGCATCCTGTGTTGTCTGTGTGTGGCAGGCCTTACGCCTTCATGATCTGCTGAGCAAACTGAAAACTGAAAATGAGAGACATATGTATTTTTTTACAACAGTTTAGATTTGTTGATGAGTTATACATAATGTGATGTATTTCTGATTAAAACAGGATGTTTGCAAAGAAAACAACTGCTTATCTGGAAAGGAAAGTTGTTTCAAAGTTCTTCTTAATTTTCTTTGAAGTAACTGATAAATCTGATAGATGCACTGATAAATAATTCACAGCAAGATTAGGAAAGTCTTTTCTGAAAGCTAACAGTCTATTTTGGTTTCAAATTGACAATGAAAATAATGTGTTTATAGAAGGGTTTAAAATTAATTTAAAAATACTTCTGTAGTTCCCTATTGATACTTCACTCGTACTGCGTCTGCTAAGATGCTATAGCAATTTCATGCCGGCACACATCATGCGTGCTTCACTTGATCTGCCAGTGTGTGTTACACGTGAGGATCAGCGCCCCTCGTTACACTGAGCAGCTTAATTCTCCTAGGCAGATCGGAGCAGAACGCTGTCACCTCTTTTGCTGGGAGCTTCGCATTTGTTTGTGCATCGCTGAGCCCCGCCTCCCCCGCTCTTGTGTTTCTCTCCTCCCAGTTACTCGGAGGAAGAAATGGCGAACTCGCGGGGATGAGCGGCCTGGGCCATGCCCACGATGAGGCTGCGCTCCCTGAGACAGACCGCTCTCACTACGAGAGTTTATGTCTCGCTCTGCTTTGCTCATGGCTCGCCTTCTTCAACGAAGGCGGCCCCGCCCCTCCCCTCCCCTCGTCTGCTACGAGTGCCTCTCGTTTTTTGAGCGGCTCAATCTTTCTAGGCGGATCGGAGCAGAACGCTGTCACCAATGATTCAATATTGCTGACAACTTCGTATTTGAATGCGCCTCTCGCCTGGGCCATGCCCACGCTGAGGCTGCGCTCCCTGAGACAGACCGCTCTCACTACGAGAGTTTATGTCTCGCTCTGCTTTGTTCGCGGCTCGCCTTCTTCAGTGAAGGCGGCCCCGCCCCTCCCCTCGTCCGCCACAAGCGGATCTGAGAGAATGCGCGCAGCACTTTTGATCTGCCTGAGTGTTTACACATAAAGATCATCAGTACTCCTGGGAGTAAGAGCCCACTCAACTAGAGGCGTCGCCTCTTCCTGGGCTTGGTCTAGCAGTGTGTCCATTGCAGAAATTTGTGCGGCGGCCGGCTGGGCCTCGCCGTCCACATTTGCCAGGTTTTATAATCTGGACGTCCCGGCCTTACAGGCTCGTGTTCTGTCTGCATAAAAGGGCTCACTCTTGTTACATGACAACCAGTCCCTTACCAAAAAGTAGTATACTTCAAGTTTATTTTAGTAAGTATACTTAAGTAAAGTTCAAGTATATTTTTAAGTATACTTTATGTAGTAAGTATACAAATATCAGTGTACTAGTAGTAT